AAACTAGGTGAGCATAAGCATCTAACATTGTGGGGCTGGGACTCACTTTGTCTGGGGCTGTGGCTCTGTTCGTTGCTCACCTGGCTGCTGGCCAAAGACACTACTCTGCAGGAACCTTGGCTACAAGGCCACACATCTGTTCAGGCTCATGCTGTGTGATATTGAAAGTTCAGGGGCAATATGCACTCTACCACTCTGTGCACGAGTTTCTCCCAATGAACCCCATGTGATAGCTGCACTTCCAACTTGTCACATAGAAATTTTTAAGTTGACAAGATGGAGAATGTGACTGTGGGGGCAGGTGGGGGTGAGACACAGGACTGTCTCTGACCATTCCCAGGAGCTAACTTCATATGGACAAGGTGGTATCTGCTAGATTTCTGTTTCATACTGTTCTCACTTTTTTTTTTTAAATTTGTTTTTGAGATGGGGTCTCCCTGTAGCCCCAGCTGGCCTGGAACTCGCTATGTAGACCAGACTGGTCTTGAACTCAGAGATCTGCCTGCCTCTGCTGGGATTAAAGGCCTGTGCCACCACACCTGGCAAGTTCTCATTTCTTAAAACAGAATTTTACAGGGAGATGCTTTGAACCTAGGCAGAGATCTCATCCCTTGTTTGGTTTTTACCTAGGTTTAGTAGTTACTGATATTCCTTGTCTGATGATTGCCAAATGGTGATCATTATTCCGCCACTCCTTCTGAACTGTCACACTGTATTCTAAGGAAGAGCATTCCCATCCCTTCATTTATTTATTCATTTTTGTATCAGTGTGGACTCACAAGTTTCTAAGGGAAAATTAAAGTTAGCTCACAGAAAATGCACACCACATGGTACTGTACCATTGCTTAATGTGGCCTGAAATAGCAAGTCTAAGATTTCTAGTGATCCAAACCAAATGTGAAACTCTATCCCTTACAAAGTTTTATATCTCCAGATTTAAAACAAACCAGTAACTGGAGCATGCACAGACAGAAAACTGTAATAGATGAGCCCAGAACTGAGTTACTCAAAAAATGGCTAGTAAATGGGCAATTGTGTAGGCATCTGGGAAAAATATTTGGAATCATGTCTCATCCTATATACGGAATCAGTTCCAAATGGATCAATGCTGAATTGCAAAAGACTGAACGCCTACATATCTGTAATGGAGAATGGATAAGTTATATCTAGATAGAATGTGGAAAGTTAAAAAGCAGCAGCAAGGAGCTCTTACTCATTGCTATGAACATTTGTTCTGTATATATTACACATAAAAACAAGATACAGTAAATATGTGTGGCATGCTAGCGCTTTTGTAAATGAAGACCATAAAGAATAGGTATTTTGGCTTGCATGTGCACAAAGATTTTGAAGAATAACCAAGAAACAATGGTTAGCTGTTTGGGACATGAGAATAGGTGTGGAGGAGAGATTTTTCTTTCTTTTGTTTTTTTGTTATGGTCTTTTTGAGACAGGGTCTCCTTGTAGCCCCAGCTGACCTGGAACTTGCTATGTAGACCAGGCTGACCTTGAACTAACAGAGATCTGCCTGACTCTGCCTCCCGAGTACTGGGATTAAAGGCATGCACCACCATACCCAGCTGAGAGATTTTTCTTTACTGTGCATTTTTTGTTGTTGCTGATCATAATTTTGAAAAATATATCCCAAATGCTAAAATCCTGAATACCGAAAATCTAAAAAGATGAGACTGGGTCAAATCTAAAACCCCCAAGCTGAGTGGGGGATATAGGTCAGTGGCAGAGTGCTTGGCTAGTGTACATAAGGTCCTAGGTTCAGTAACCAGTACCTGCTTCTAAATTCACAATCCTGAAAGATTTGTTCTAAATGTTGCCATCCTAAAAAAGTGCAATTACTATTGAAAAGGGGGCTATATATGAGGACTAGAAAGCTGAACTGTGGGTAAGAGACTGGTGGGTTTTGGTTGGCTGTATCAGTGAGCGTCTTTTTCAGGGGTGGTTACTGTGTGTTGAATGGACAGATGGGAAGATTCCTCCTGTAGCTGCATTTGGGAAAAATATTGTTCCATGAGACTGGGACACTGCACAACTGCATATGCAAAGGTGACCCACTTCATATTTGTTTTTGAGCACGGCTTTGCCATATAGCCCAGGTTAGCCTTGATCTGTGATCTTCCTGTCTTGTCTTCCTCTTAGTGCTGGGATTATAGGTATGTGTCAACATGCCAGACCCTGTGGTAGTTTTTAATTTAAAAAGATTTAGGTTGGCCATCAAGGTATTTTAGATAACTGAAGTAATAAAACTGGGCATACATACTGACCAACCATAGTTATATTCACTTTATGTATTTAATTTTTGATCTATTTCTTTATGAATATGTTCATCTCATAACTGGAACAGCAATGCAACTACTGCATTTGAGAGTTTATGCTTGCAAAAATATGTACGCTATTATTGTCTATTTTACTGTGTAAAGTGGCCTTTGTTCTATTGTGTTTTCATGCTTATCAAATAAATCATCTTTAAAATGTAAATAGATGTCTCTGAGTAAAAATCTAATCTTTTCGGAATTCTATTTTTAGGATTTTAGCCTTTTAAGTAATTTTGATCTTTTGTGATTTCAATATTTGGGATTATCTTTTTGGTAGCCAAATCCATCTTTTATTTGAAAGACGAATGAATCATATTGTGTACTAGTTAAGGTTAAGCAAGGAAAACCAGAGACATCTTCACAAGCTTTTTATAAAAAAAAAAAAAAGCAAAACACATTTTATATAACTTTTTTTTTTTTTTAAGACAGGGTCTCACTATGTAGCTCTGCTGGCCTGCTATTTGTTACATTGACCAGGCTGGCCTCAAACTCACAGAGATCCCCCTGCCTCTGCCTCCTACGTGCTGATATTAAAGGCTTGGGCCACTAGGCTTGGCTATTTTATGTAATACTTCTAAAAAAGAGAATTTCACCATGAAACTTGAAAAAGAGCAAATTAGAGTGTGAACTTATGATTACAAGTACAATGAAATGTTAATGGAATTAAGCACGCCATCAAAGGAATAGATTTTGGGGTTGGGTATTTGCTAGAATATTTACCTAGCAAGCATAAGGCCCTGGGTTTCATCTCAAGCATTAAACAAAACAAAACAAAACAAAACAAAAACAAAGAAAAAAATAGAGCCAGGCATGTGGCATATGCCTTTAACCCCAGCACTCAGGAGGCAGAGGCAGGCCGATCTCTGTGAGTTCAAGGCTAGCTTGGTCTACATTGTGAGTTCCAGGGCAACTGGGGCTACATACTGAGACCTTGCCTCAATAAACAAAAACAAAAATAAAAAGACTTTATCTAACCAGTATATATTTAGGAGTAGGAGAAATCTAGTAAAATAAGTTACCATTGTGGCTTTAAAAATACACTATGGCTGGGCATGGTGGCACATGCCTTTACTCCCAGGCAGATCTCTGTGAATTCAAGGCCAGCCTGGTCTACATAATGAATTCCAGATCAGCTGGGGCTACAGGGAGACCCTGTCTCAAAAAGATGAAAAAACCCCACTGGGATAGAATCATGCTGAGTCACCTAACGTTTATTTAGTATTGGGTATGCACATGCTATGATGAGAGTATGGCTTGCTTCTTAGCTGCTGACTTGGAAGTTACTCTGTGTCATCTGTTAAAATGGGGAGAAATTTCAGCACCTGGTGCATATAAGGTGTACAGGCTTGTGAACCCCAAATCGAACGCTAGCCAATGACCTTTAAATTTTTTCTAGCATTCATTTTAGAAAAATAAAGAGGAGGCTGAAGATATGGCTTAGCACTTGTTGCACAGGCATTGAACACACACAGATCTTTATTTAGCCTTTTTGAGATGGTCTCCCTGCAGCCCAGATCTTTATTTTTAAAATGTTTTATTATTTTTATGTGTCTAAGTGTATTGCCTGCATGTATGTAAGTGCACCTGTGTCATGCAATGCCCGAGGAAGTCAGAAGAGAGCAACTGGAGTTACCAACAGGTGTTAGCTACCATGTGGGTGCTGGGATTTGAACCGTTGTCTTTTACAAGAGCACCCAGTGCTTTTAATCGCTGAGCCATCTCTCCAGTCCCACAAATAGATCCTTAATAAAGTAAGTCAGGTGTGTTGACACACGCCTTTAATCCCAGCATTCAGAAGGCAGAGGCAGGTGGATCTTTGCAAATTCAAGGCCAGCATGGTCTACACAGTGAGGGTCAGACCAGCCAGGGCTACATAGTGAGGAATTCCAGACCAGCCAGGGAGGCATTGTCTCTTAAAAAACAAAACAAACAAAAACAAAAGAACACAAAATAAAAACAAATAAACTAGTATTTATCTCAATAAATTAAAAAAAAAAATCTCTTCGACCTGTAAAAGTATAAAGATCAGCAAATCACACCTGCACCTGAATTCCCACTAGCTGCATTGAAAGAGCCAAGGGCCACGTGGCCGGCCTGATCAAAACCGTGCACTTGACAGTTCAACAAAGTGCTTCCAGGGGCAGAGGGAACCATTCCTCACCTGCAACACAGCAGTCTATAGGGGGAATCTTCTGGAATAGACGCATACGTGGGGATGGGGGGCAACATTAAGATGGTTTTCTTTAGGCCAGCCTCTGCTTGGAACTCACAGCAACGAGGGACCGGTCTATGCAACCGCACAACTGGGCTCGGATCGCATTTTCCGGTTGTCTGAGTTATTTTCCGGAGGATTGGGCGCAGGGCCGAGCTCTGGGGACAATTACGGGGCGGGAGTCCTGCACGGTGACACTACGGAGGCGGAGGGTCCTCTATGGCCGGTGGCCTGGCCCCGTGGCCCAGCGAACACTACTAGGACGCCGGCCGGCCGGCTGCACCACGCCGCTCCGGTCCCTACGGTGGGCCGCAAACGTCGCCTTGGCCTCCGGGCCCGAGCCCGCAGTCTCCCAGCTCCTGAGTGGCTGGGGGGCCGGGATTAACCTTTCACCTCCGCGCTCTGTCCAATCACAGGCCCGCTCTCTTGCGGCCGCGGGCCGAGCTGAGCGAGGGGGCGCTGAGCGGCGGCGCGGAGCGGGTGGGATTCTCCAAGCCGCGGTGCGCCGTTGCCGCGGGCCGAGCGCGGGCTGCGGGTGAGCTGGGCGCTGCGCAGTCTCCGCAGGCGCCGGCGGGAGGGGTCGGGGCGCGGCGCGGGCTGCTCCAGGCCCAGGTGAATGGAGTAACCTGACAGCGGGAACGAGGCGACGGCGAGCGGGAGGAAATGGCGGCGGCGGCGGTGGCGCCGGGCGGCACCGGGAGGCCTGGGCTGTGACGCGCGTGCCGGAGCGGGGTCCGATGGTTCTGGAAGGCCCGCGGCGCCCGGGACTGCAGGTGAGACGGGCTCCCGCGGGCCGCTTTGTGTCCGGAGATGGGGGCGGCTCCGCCCGGCCCGCCTCCTCGTGAGGCCCGGCGTGGGCGCCCTGAGCAGGCCGCGACGCCTAGCTGCAGCCCGGACGACCCGCGCGGCCTGCGCGCCCGGGCGGTGCGGCCTGTTGTGTGCGGCCACCCGAGGGCCCCGGAGCCTCTTGCGGAGCCGGCGCGGGGACGGACCTCCGGCACTCCGGGACCGGGAGCCCGGCCTGGCCCTCCCCGGCCGCCAGCGAGGAGCCGGCTTTGACAGGTCCGGTTCGGCGAAGACCCGAGGAGTCCACGCGGGCCGGCGCCCCACGAGTGACCGACTCTGGCCTGCGGTGACCCGGAGGGGACTAGGCCGGGGCTGGGTCCCTCCGGGGGTGGAGGGGGTGGTTGTGTATTTCTTGGCAGGTGACCAGTGTGGCCCCTCCCCTCCTGTCTCTGATGCCCGGACCCTGGAAGCCTTTCCTTCAGAGTTTTTAATTTGGACAAATCAGTGCATATTTTAGGTCAGATTTCTGTGAATTGCCTAGGCAACCCGAGCCGCCCTTGTGACTTTGCCTGCAGGGACAGCGCCAGTGTCCTGAAGATTTGCCAAAAAGGATGAGTTTGGGGTGGAGGGCGGGGGAGTCCTTGGTCATTGCTTTTGTGAGGAAAGTTGTGAAAGGGATACAGGATGTGCCAAGCGTTGTGGTGGGCGGGTTTTGAAAACCTTCATTGGATTAAAGAGTATTGCTTGGGAGTTTCCCAAAATCTTTCCAGCCTTGATTGCCAGTTGTCTTCCGGAGCTCCGTGTGCACAGCAGAGTCAGTAAACGAGGGTGCCAGTGAAGACCTCGGAAACTTGGAAAAACAGGAAAAAAAGTTATATATTGGTATAAACATTCAATTTTTGTAGGCAAAGATGTCCATTGTAGCCAAGAGCTCAAATAATTTATTAAAAGATGAATTCTGGGTGAGCCTACTAGTGCATAGTAAATTTTGATATTATTAGTATAATCTGTGGAAACTGGATTCTGGAATAGTCACTGTTTTTGCCAAGTATCTTCCCGTGGCACCCTGTAGTATGTAATGTAAGCGTGTACATGCTCATGAACATTATTAATTCAAAACTGCGTTTTAGAGTGAATTTTATAGGTATGTCAGCTGCGAGGGTTACTTTTAATATGGTCAGCATAGTAGCCAACGTTTGTGAGTAAATGACTCATGGCATCAAATGATAAATCCGCCAGTCTTAATTTAGGGATAAAAGAGCTTGTAATTATTTTAGTAAGGGTTTTCTTTACCTCTCAGGCTGAGTACTACTGCGTTATAGCAGAGGCTCTTTATTGGAGTCATATAACTAGGTTGTTTTACTGTTGAGCTATCTGGGCTTGGTTTTAGAGGATGTTTGATGTGGTTCATTTCTGTCTCCTGAATTAGGGTCCTTCTGCTTCCCTCCTGGGTACTAGAATCACAGGCATGCACCACCAGGCCTGACTCACCTGATTCATTTGACAGTGATTCTTGAAAGACGGCTGCTTAGCTACACTTCTACTTTCTAGGGAGGATAACTTGTTCTTTACCACTGTCTGATTTGAGAAGGTAGGTGTTCGTTTACAGATGCGCGTTCACTTGTGACCTGCACAGGCTTCCCAGTGTGGCACAGGAGATAGGGAGACATTTGATAAACACCTCATCATTATGTGCTAAGATGAGGTGCTGAGACATCGGGTTCTTTTCACACATTCTCATTGAGTTCTTGGCATGCCAAATTCAGCATCATCCTTACTTTACAGACAAGAAAAGTGAGACTTAGTGACTATGGCTTAGATGTGTCAGAGCCAGGACTGAATCATGGTTTGGTTTAGAGTCTTTGCGTGCCTGCCGTTTGCATTGTGCTGTTCCAAGGGATTTTAGGCAGTTTGCATAATGTGTCCTCAGTTAATACTGAGTGAGTGAAGCTCCATCCACCCGAGTGCTCAGGTGACCTCTGCTTGTCCAAACCTTTCAGGTTGTTTATAAAATGTGATAAAGCATACACGACGGTTATCATTTTAGCCACTGAAGTGTACAGTGTGGCTGCGTTAAGTGTATCCACGTTTTATGAGTCTTTCCACTATTGAGACTCTGCCCATTGAAACACGAACTCCTCATTCCACTCTCCATCCCTAGGCTGACACGATTCTGTGTTCTTTGTGAGTTTGGCTCTGATAGGGACCTCAGTTAAATGCGGTCATTCAGTGCTTGTCTTTTGTGCCTGGCTTTTCATTTAGCATGGTGCTTTTAGGGCTCACGTCCTAGCATATATCAGATTCATTTCTTATAAAGACTGGGTATGCCATTGTATTTACAGATGGTCCTTCACTTACAATGGTTTGACTTAAGTTTTTTTGCTTCAAGGTAGTATAAAAATAGTACATATTCAGTAGAAACCATACTTTGAATTTTGAATTTTTGATTTTTTAAAATATATTTTTACAAAAATTTATTTTTACTTTATGTGTGTGAATGTTTTACCTGCGTGTTTGTAAGTGTACCAATGTGAGTGCCCTTGGAGAACAGAAGAGGACGTTGGATTCCCCTGGAACTGGAGTTACAGATGGTTGTCAGCCACCATGTGAGTGCTGGGAATCGACCCTGGGTCCTCAAGAGCAGCCAGTGCTCTTAACCACTGAGCCATCTCTCCAGCCCTGAATTTTTGACTAGCAATATGTGATTGCTATGTCTCAGTCAGTCCTGTGGCAATAAGGGCAAGGATACCCTACTGTCCTTTGTTCAGCTGGAAGGTTTACTAGTGGGTTGTATGAGATGCTTTTGCCATACTTTTACATACTTTTAACTTAGAAATGGGTTTTTAGGGCCACTGGAGGTGGAGGAGCACCTGTGTATGCACTGTTCTGTGGCTGCCCACCTGCGGCTTCCATCTTTGGCCTACTGTGAGGCAGGGCTGCACTGAGCACAGATATGCGTCTGTCCATTTGACATCCTGCTGTCCCATCTTTTGGGCATATCCCCAAAAGTGACAAGGTGGCCTCTTGATCTTCAAAACACTAGTAATTTCCTACGAACAGTACCTCTTTCCATAAGAGATTACTATCTTCTTGAAGTTCAGGGATTACTCATTTTTAGGATCTTGGTTCCTATCACAGCATGGCAAACAGGGATTCTTATCAGTGAGTTCATTCAGTGGATCAACAGTGATAGGCTCTGTTGGAGCCAGAGGAAGACACTGTGAGTTGCAGTGTGATTTGTGTAAATAGGAAATTGGAGCCAGGTGATTTAGTGTGTTTACCTCGGGCTCTGCTTTTTGGACCTCAGAAGTTCAACTCATCCCGAAAGCCAACAGATGCACGGGTGTTATGCTGGCTTTTGTTTACAGGTTTCTCTGCAGTGCCTTCAAAGCAGACTCTAATCTTTGAAGTAACCTCTCAATAGCCTTCTCCCTCTTTAGTCCTGGGCAGCTTGGACCTTTTTAGCCCTTACTTTCTGATTCCTTGGTATTTACCAAAAATTTATGCTAAAAAGTCTCTAGTTTTCAAACATTCTCTGCAGAGACAAACCGTTTGCTTAGTAATTATTATCTATGCACTTTCAGAAAGGGCTTAAGACGTTTTTATGGTAATGGGTATTTTAGAGGACCGTGAAAATCATGGTGAAGGTTGGTGGGGATAGCCCATGGAGGGAAAGAGTTAAGTAAAGAGCTTAAAGCAAGGATAACTCAAGGCTTACACTGAGAATAAAGTATTTTCACTTTAAAAAAAGTGTGCAAATGTGAAAGAGGAACTTGGGCTAGTTATAGTTGCTGTTGATGAATGAAATTGTAGGAGCTACTCAGGAGCAGACACATCTCTTTTATGAACAGTAATTGTTTGGATTCATCTACACAGTGACACTGCCAATGCGTGGAGAAAATGGTGACATTTTATAGATGACAGGGAAATGTTTTACATGCCCTTAGGAAGAAGCCAGATCCAAAGCATGAGGCATAATAGAAAAGGTATAATAGGTTAGGTATCATGGCTCTGGTGATTTCATCCACTGGAGTGCAAGTGTCACTTGTGGCATGCAGGCGTTGACGGATGCCAAATGGCGGTCCTTCAGGAGGGAACTCTTCTGGGCAGTATAGGCAGCCACAATGTTCCAATTAGTAGCATTTTTGTTGGTCTTCAGGAATGTGTTGGACTGACAAGCAGAACCACTTGTGTGGTGCTATTTATCTGTTAATTAAAAGAATCCATAAAGAAAAGCATTCTGTTTGAGGTGTAGCTAAAGAAATTGACAGTTTTGGTCATGTTAGAAAGCCTTCGCTTAATTGCAGGTACACAGTGACCTTCTCATTTGTCCAAAATGGTTGATTAGTTGTTTGGTACTTGTAATTTAGCATTCAGTTTTACACCACAAATAAGTGAATGCAGAGATGCCACAGGGCTTGTTGGAAGATGCCAGTATGGCTATTAGGCACAGCAGGCTTTGGTTTGGCTGCTGGGTTTTGGCTTTTGAGTCACATGAGACACAGTGACATTAAATGCTCTCATGGTGCTAAGGTTTGTAGAATCTAAGGAGTAAGTCTTCCTCATACTCACTGCCAGACAGGGCTTGGTCTGAAGGGGGTGCCTGGTTTTGCTGAGTAACTAATGAGTTTATCTTTATGAAACTTAAATGTTTTTAGATGCTAACAGTATTGCGGGGAGTAATATTGCTTGTGCATCGAGGACTTTGAAAAATCTGGCTCGTCTGATTTTGGGCAACCATTCGTGAGGTACGCATGACTGTGGGAACACTGCAGCCCAGTGTGTGTGTGTGTGTTCGGGTGTCCATGCATGTGTGCATGCGTGTGCACATGTGTGCATGTGCATGTGTATGTATGTGTGAGGAATCATGGAAGAAGATTGCTGTAGCATTGGGAGTGTTACTGGTATTGGAGACATTTCATTATTGAAGCAGGTGACCCAGACTTTAAAAAAAAATTTTTATTATTTTTATTTTATGTGTATGCGT